TAATAATAATAATAATAATAATAATAATAATAATAATAATAATAATAATAATAATAGTAATAATAATAATAATAATAATAATAATAATAATAATAATAATACTTAAAGAGAAGTAATTTAAGTTATTGATTACGTAGGAATTTATAATTTCTATAATAATTACATTGATTAGTCTCACCTTCAATTTTCCAATATTCAAAAATAGCTTCACGAATATAAACAAAAGCGCAAATACGCAAATGTTTTGGTTTGTTTAAATATACAAAAGGAGAAAGTGTGTGATTGTATAATTGATCAGATGAAAATTCATACATCTTTCCATTTTTTCAATTTTTCTAAAATTTCATTGTTTAATTCTCTTTTAACGCTAATAATATTTTATGCTTAATGATTGCGATGGATAATTTTTTCAAAAACCATTTTAACATTGCAATGAATTCATGTTTTAATATTAATTGGATTATTTATCATTCTTTTTTAAATGTTTTCATCCCATTTTACTGTATTATCGCTAAAATTGTTTATGAAATTTGTCATTTCAATTTTTCTTTTTATTTTGAAATAGTAATTTTCTTTTAATTGGCTGTAAATAATTGCTTTTGTTATAAATTGCTATATTTACTTATATTTTGTTTATTCGTAAAAAATGATGCCATGAAATTTGCTAGGATCAATGTGAATTACAAATATGACACATATTGAATGTTGGGTATAAACATGTTTCAATTATTCATTGATTTTAGATGTGTATTAAATTTTTCAGTGCGTATGTATTTGTTAAAGTTTTTCTTTTTTTTTTTTTTTTTTATCCATTTTTCATAGAGCTATTAAGGAATTTCAAACTTTTACAGAGACAAAGGTTGCTTTTACAACGAGAAATTGTATTGATAGATAGGTTATTGAATGTGAGAACAATAAGATAGATTAGAATATTTGTATTATATGCTTACAACAATTCTGGCTATGAATGATCATATCTCAAATGGTACAACTGCTTTAAGTGGTATCCTGGATCAAAGAAAATGCAGAAAAAGAAAGGACTGTAGTATGATTTGAGATTCTAAATGATAAAAAGAATTTTCATTTGCATCAAATAATCTCAACAAGAATAATAGCTTGAGGAAGATAGAATTAAAGAGCATTTTGTTCTGGCCAAGTTACATAGCCATATTGCAAATGTGATTATTTCTAAGCCACAGATTTCTTTCACAGCCATGTCTAAATTTGATTTTTTTTTTAAGCCTAAGTCTAAGCCTAACATTTTGAAATTTTAAAATTCAATATTATTACTGTGTCGAATAGTGCAATGGGAGAAATAAATGTACGATATGGTGTGCTTGTTTTTAATTCTGCAATACCACTTCTTCCGGATTTAATCTTTCAAGTAGTTCCGGATACGGTAAATGATTAAATAACTTTGAACTATTTCCGTTGTAATAACTTTGAAATTATTAACTGAGGATCATGAGAAATAAACGAAAGAGATCACAAAATAACCGTATCCTGTACAGTGTTATGCAGGAAATGGAAGGAAAAAGAAACTGAATGATTTTTACAATTTCGAAATTAAAATCAAGAAATAGCTTTAGCTTTAATATCCTTTACAATTGCATGTTCCACTTAGTTTTATAATGTTTAATAGCCTTGTTATTATTTTTAGCAAAGACTAGATGGAGCATTACAATGTATCAGTGATGTATTCGGTAAACGTTCAAAAGAAATCGGAATTGAATCGTTGCCAAATAGCTTCCGAAATTTTTGAAATGTTTAATTTTCAGGTAATTTTAGCTTTTGCTTTTTATGAAGTTTCATTTCATGATAACCTTTCTGTATATAATATCAAATATTTAATTACTATCCTATGTTTCCTCATATTTCCAATTCTTATGGCACAAAAATCTATACACTCCCTGCTTTGTTTTCCATATACTATATTCAAATAGTGATAGCAATAGTGATAACAAAAGTTTGTATATTATGATTAGGCGATGTTAGTATGGATGCAGAACTTTACAGTGTTACTTAACATTTGCATTTCCAATTTATATATTTTAAAACAAAACTATGTCAATTTGTTTTTGATGAAATCAAATATTAACTCTACAAAGTGTACAAATTTATCATTCCCTTCATTCCTATCATTATTTCCTTCATAATTAAGGTCTATGTTATTGAGGATGATTTAAATGTAAATGAAATGGATAGAAAAAGGAAGGAAAAAAAAATGAAGGAAAAGAGAGAAAGGTAGCAACAAGAAGAAACTGGATGAAAATGAATCCGGTTGTTACTGAATATATCCCGAATGCATTATCGTCCGGTTCGTTTTCTTTGTTGAGGATAAATTGGAAAGAAAAAAAAAGTGATAAGAATGAAGAGAATGACTTCCTGGAATCCTCTTATACAATATTTCAAGAAGTCGCAAAAATAATCAAGGAGAACCGATGTGATCAAAGAAAAGAGGAAAAGGATGATCAAGAAAAAGCTTCTAGAATATGCGAATATATTAGGGAAGAAGAGAAAGTGATCAGAAATCTTTTTCAAAACAATTTATATATGAAAATATATAAGAGTTATATGTACGAGTTAATATAAGAGTTCTAATGCATTACATACTGGGAATATTTTTCTTTTTTGAAATCTACTTTTTGATAATTTGTTAATAGAATTCATCACTCACCAAATTACTAAATATTCTCATTAATTTCTTTCACATCTTTTCTTCATTTTATCTTTCTTCCTAAATTCCAAGATTGAATTGTAATTTTGCTTTCTTTTTTTTAATTAATCGAAAGAAAAAACAACAAAATAATAACAGAAAATTTTCTATTACGAGAAATTTAATTGAAAATTATAAAATTTGCTGAATTTTGATATTGCAAAAATTGAATAAAATGATAAAAATTTTTTGTTTTAATATTATTCCTTTTAGCATCTGTTAGAAAGCAATTATGTCCTGATAAATACAAGAAAAAAAACTTTTTTCTAAAAATTTCGTCAATAATTCAAATAATTGCCAGAATTTTGTAAAATTATTTACTACGACATTTTTTAATAAATTATTAATTTTTCATTACACTTTTTTTTCCATTTAAATTATAGTATTTGATCCATTTTTGTTTGCTTTTTCTCTTTTTTTTTATTAAAAAAAGGAATTGAAATATCAATGGAAATACGCAATTGCGTAAGGAACATTAAACATTGAAAATTGATTATTTTCGTTGAAAATTCTTCCCGAAATTTCCTTAACGGTCATTTATCTCAGTAATCAGTCCTTCCTATTTCAGATAACGTTTATAAAACAATAAATAAGCTGATTATATCGAAATATATTTTATTTAGATAAATTTTCAATTGGGTGACGAAACAGATTTCGATCACTGAATCAACTTGTAGTCATCTGAATAAAATGACCATTCTGAGTAATATTCATGAAGTGACCAACACCATAATAACAGTGTAATAAAGTAAGTTCATTTTCCTTTCACTTTGAATTATGTGGAAATTTACAGGAATCACTGTGCATTTAAGTCATTTGCGTGATTACTACTATGAGAACGATTGAATGAAATTGACACACTTGGAATGGTAAAGTTTTTTACGCGATATTACAACAATGATAACTTTAATTGGCGTACAAAAACAAGTTTAGTTAATTCTATTTTTCAAATATACACAAATCTAAAACAATTTTTCAGTGGAGTCACAAATTTCAAAAATAATAAACCAACTTGTTTGCTTCATTTTCATGCATCAATTTAACATCGTTTAAATCAGTTGTTCATATTTAAAATTGCCTTATAATCTTAAATAGTTTAATATCATTCAGGTAGTTTGTTTACTTGTTATGTAATATGTAAGTACATATCTTTTCAATTTTACTTTATGGATAATTGTTAAATAAAAAAGAAAAAAAAGAATCTGTTAAAAATTAGAAAGTAAACCAAAAATAGGTTATATAAAATACAGTGCATACAAAAAGATTAGTAGTAAATAACAAAAAACCAAATTGTAAAGTAGTAAATACGAGTAATGCAAAAAAAAAAAAAAGTAGTAGGAGTTAAGAGACTGAATTGCAAAGAAAATTTTAAATTATTGAAATTCAGTTACTTTTCAATCAAGAAAACAAGCAACGAAATTAAAATTTCATTCCAAATAAAAAAATGAGAACAATTTAAACATTTCATTTCCTTATAAAGTTAGCAATTTCACAGCTTACTTATGTTTTAATCCCAAACAATTTCTTTTCATGCACTTTTTTTTTCTTTTTTTCTTTTGAAATTAATATTTACACTGAATGAAACCGAGTCATGACATTTCTGCTTTAAGTGAATCGAACATATTTCATCCAACTTTTTTGAGCGTTAAATGCCTACATTTGAGAAATTATTGAGAATGTTTGCTTCAATAACAATGCTAATTTCTTGGCTTCATTTTTCATTCATTAATTCAACATCTACTTCTATATGTTCCTCATAGTGACATTCTCATCTTTAAAAGATTTAAAATATTCGAAACATCTTTTCAATATTCTATTTACTTATATGAGATATGTAAGGTTGAACTTTTCTTTATTTTATTTTATGAATAATAACAAAAAACAAATGAATAAAGAAACAAGTCAAAATTGAATGAAATTTCATATCGTAAACACAAAAAGAGTTACAAATACAAATAATTCGTTAATGCAAGAAAAAAAAAAAGAATGTACGAATTGCGAAAGAAGCGAAAGATTGAAATGCAAAAGAAAACTTTGAATCAATCAAAGATATAAGCAACAAAATAGACATATGAATGTCGTATTTCTTTATGAACAGCATTCGTAGTTTCAAATTTCAAACAATGAGAATGAAATAATTACATATCTTTCAATAACTCGCTTAGATCTGCTATTTGCATTATGGAAAGTTAGACGAAAAAAGACATAAATTAAAGGTAAGTAGCACAATCGTCAGGTTTTTGTCTCATTTAAATGAATGAAATGCTGAAAGAACTTGCAACAGAAACAGGAATTCCGTGGCTATAATTTCACAGTGAACTAAGCCTAGCTATGACAATTCTACTTGACATCGGTCGGATATATTGAGAACCAATAAAGTTATAGTCATTTAAAGTATTTCAAAAAAATATAACTTAATGGGAAATCTTAGGAATGACTAAATTTCTTTACGAAAAAGCTTGAAAATTTCTCTCACAAGCAGAAGTTCCAAGCTGAAATATTTCAGAAGAAGAAAATGGTAATTCGTAATAGTATGTGGAAATTTTTGTAATAATTTACTGTTCCAGGAAAATAAAAAAGAAAAAAAAGATACGATAATTGAACTGAGAATGAAAATATCAATTCAAAGTAAGCTTAAATTAATCCGAAAATTGAAAAAGAATTGATACGGAAGGGTTTGATACACATGTAGAAAACATTACAATGAAGATAGTTACAAATGCACTCATTACACTTGTAATTCGGTAAATCATTTCAATTATTTGATTTCATTAAAAAGGTCACAAAAAGAACTGAAATTGGAAAAGTGGCCAACTTGTCAATCAAGCCAAATGCGCAAATTTTCTGAACCCAAAATACCTATCCTAAGTGAACAAACTAATTATTATGCCATTGATATCCAACAATAAACTAACTCAACTAAACCACTCGCACTCAATTTGTATAACAAACGATCAGACTAACATAACTTAATGTATGTTGCATTACTTGAACTTCCAATGATCCGACAAGACCGCCTCACTGAAATCATAAATTTTACAGGAATAAAAGAAAAATCCATCTCTCTGTCGATTAGCTTATGTGAAATATAATAAAAATGATTGATGTTATATGAGAATGATTCGATTAATTGATTTGCAGAAAGGATTATTCAATTAATCTCCATGTATTAAAGGGAAAGGCGACTATTGCATCTAAAAGAATAGCTGAGCGCTCATTGCACTTGTAATCATTTTCTTCCTCAATGATTAGTACCACTCTCTTTGTCTATTAAAAATTTGTCTCTGATTTAGGATTTTTTCTTCTTTTGAAATGAGCATCAAAAGTTTCTCATTTCAATATCTGCAAGCCTAGATACGTCAAAAAGCATCAAAAATCATTAAGCCATATTTGCATACGAAATCCTAACTTCTTACAGATGAAGCTAAAAGAATTTTTGATGCTTAACAGGTATATTGTAGTGAAATGCTATTACATTTTCGGAAGTTATTAGAATTAATATCAGGAAAATTACATTCATTGAACATCATTTGCTGATACAATATCAAAGAAGGATATAAAAATTGGTTTTTTTTGTTTTTCAAAAATTTCTTTTGTTCATTGTATATTATATCATTTATCATAAAGTTGGGGAGAAAATTTTTTTCAATCCTATGAAATATCATTTTACGATACTTTTGTAGTTATTATGATTAAATCTTATTCTTTTTTAATTATCAATTTACAATTACTATTCAATTTGAAAGAATTTGCAAAGATTTTTAGTTTAATGTAATTTTGGATATATTCGATTCTTTTTTTTTTTTAATTCAAAATGGCAATGTAATAATGTTCCGTTTTATTCATTCGATTAAAAATTTGTGGAACTATTTACAAGATTTCCGGTTCGACTTTTATTTCTTTTCTTTTTTTCTTTGGTATTTGACAATAAAATTTTCCTTTAAAGCATTAAAACAATAACTTTAGGTTGAAATAATCAGGATGATAAACAGTTACTTTGGTAGAATTTGGCCACTATCAATGACAACATGTATGATGTAACTATAATGACCGATGAAAATGTTTGGTTATTATATCATATAATGGATTACTTTGGGAATAAAGTAATTTCATTTCTT